TGTATTTTAAAGTGTTGCGAATCTATTGCCGCGAAATATTCGCTACCGCTGCGAATATATCGCGTTGGTTTGTGGGAGTCTTTAAATAGTTAAATTATATTATACATATATAATTGTTTGCGATTTTTTAAGAGAATCGGTTCTCATGATTCGATTCTGAATCGATCCTTGATTCGATTCAGAATCGATCCTTGAGTCGATTCGAGAATCGATTTTTTAAAGTGAATCGAACATCTGTATTCCCAACGACTCTACGAGTACCAAAATTCAACGCAGTGGTCGTCTGTCGCCACATGATGACCAGACACATCTGACGCACCGTCAAAGATCAGTTACTGAAAATTAGCCTTCACTTTCAAATCCCAGCTGCCTCCGTTTGCAGATCGTTTCAACAAGACTGCCAGCTACGTCTAGATCACGTCAAGTTGGAATTCTCCCGCGACATCGATCGCATTGTTAGCATCGACGACGAAGAAGACTGAGAGAAAAAACAAAGGAGAAGATACCATCTTCATCAATTACGAACGTCAGTCCCGTCTCGAAAATAACCGTCGAGCTGAAATTCAAAGAGGGTCTAGCGCGAGCCAAGGTTGCTAGCTGGGTATACTCGCGATTTCTAAGACGATTATATTATCGGCGCGCGTAACTTCTCCGCAGGTGTGCTCGTTGTGTCCAAGGTAGCCAGTTTCCGTGGTGTGTCGTACCGAACGCAGTTCTGCGCAAACAGCTTATCTAATGCAATTGAATTCTGCGTCACGTTTCAGCTAAATACGTAATTGACATCGGTATATATGTTGGTACACACGTACAATGATTCTTGCCGTACGGCCGTAACTTCACAGGCTACGAACGGTAAGAATCATTTGGGTAGAGGGTATATTTCGTTTCTACGATTTTTGGTGTCTGGATTATAAATTGCTGAATTACGAATGAAAAAAAATGTTAATAACTAGTAATACTAAAATTCTGATACTAATAACCAATAATACCAAATATCTAATACTAATGAGCAATAATACTAGAATATCAATCTTAATAATGACCAATTCTATTGTAGAATATTAATACTAATAACAAATAATACCAGAATACTAATATTAATAAACAATAATACTAAAATACTAATAGAAATGACCAATAATATTAAAATACTAATTGAAATGACCAATAATATTAAAACACTAATAGAAATAGCCGAATAATATTAGAATACTAATATTAATAACAAGTAATACCAGAATACTAATACTAATAACCAATAATACTAGAATACACTTGTGTAGAAATAACTTATTAGTATTCCGGTATAATATGTTACTAGTATTAGTATTTTAATTTTATTGGTTGTTTGTATTAATATTTTAGCACTACTGGCTATTAGTATTTTATTACCAGTGGTTACTTGTACTAATATTTTAGTATTATTGGTTACAAAAATCTGCATAAAGATCCGTTGTCTATTAATAAACAATAATACACCAATATTAAGAACTAATAATACTAAAATATTAATATTCTTAATACACTGGTTCTGTACCACCAGTAAAATAAAAAGCTTCAAATAGTCCTACGCTAGGGACACGGATCTAGTGACAACGCTAGTCACCGTAGAGATAACGAACGCTCGGTATTCGGCCGAAAGTTTTCGCGTCGTTACGGGGTCACGCGTAAGTTCAATGTGCCTGGAAGCGAATCGTTGATAAAAATAGCGGAGCCACGCCGATTATCTTCCGCGGATTCTGTATCAATTCGTTACTTGCTGCCCGATTAAATGACGAACCTGGAGGGATACACTGTTGCGGAGACACGTATACTCCCACGTGCCGATTCCAGATTTAGCAGTAACAGGCCGAGACTCGCCTGCGGAGAGAAAAATCAATCGATCGATCACGAACGGCGCACATTACGCGATGAAAAAAATACCAGATGAAAAAAAAAGTAACACATGTTATGTTATGATATTATGATATTTACCGAATTCGCCTTGAAATCCTCTAACAGATAGGCATAAATAAATTATAGGTGTATTTGCAAAAAAATTGAAGGTGACCTTGAAAAATCATGAAAAGGAAGAGTTGAGAAAAAATTTGCTATAATCATGTTAAAGCTCTTTTGAAACCATGCTATACCTGATAAAAACATTTTTAATCGGACTGCTAATGACAGAGTAATCTCGACTGATCACAATTCGTGGTTCACCCTGTATAATAGTTTTTTTAGTCTTGTATACATGGTATGGCACAAATCTGAATGTGCATTCGAAAGTTTATCGGTAAAATAAGACATTAATAATCTTTTGTCTCTTTCGTTTAATGGAATTCAAGTGTTGAGCATTGTTGTAAATACAACAGAAACTTACAGAACTCTAATTTCTTTCAAGTATTTCAAGAGAATTTATGGATCCAAGGAAGAAAAATTGGGTGTTATTATAAATATTAACATTATGATGAGAATTATTATAACTGCGATAAAAATGAAAAATAAAGGTGTCAAATGGCAATCGACGATTTCAAGATGTTAAAATATACAATAATGTAATATACACAAAAATACGATAAAATATTTCTTTAGGAGTTTTTAAATAATTCTGGAATGAAAAGGTTAAATTTTACGAGTATGTTATTAAACGAAAGTATTCAAATGTAGCTTAAACATTTATGCAAGCACCAAAAAACAAAAACAGAATACTTTGAATAATTTTGACCGCAGATGGTAATTTATGCAAGAGATTGCGTTTGATGTAAAATAACGTTGTTTTCCTTAAAATATGTTTACAGTATAATAAATTTAATAAGTTTGTAATATTTTTTATTTTATAGTTTGAATAATTTACGCCACGCTTCGTGAGAGAGCTGTCGAGAAAGAAACTAGGAGACAATGAAGGGGGAGGGGGGTGGCTTTAGGAATGCATTCCATTCGCGCGTCTATTTAGTTCTTTTGCGGAATGTATTCATAACAACCGACTCATGGCGAAAAAAGTTTCTGTTGACGGTGACCAGACATGGCAAAAACAAAAGAAAAAAAAAAGAAGGGACGTCGTTCAATTTCCAACAATTCGTGTAACAACTGAAGTGTGAAAATACCTACGTATATAATTTCGAAATCAAAGCTGGGTAAAATGTAGGAAAATAAATATTTTAACTATAATTTATAATTACGAATTGTTATTTCATGGATATTAGTTTTTTTTTTGCGTTTAAAAGCTGCAGTAAAAATGTGTATTAAACAACGTAATTGAACATTTCATGTTATGAAATACTTGTCAACCTATTATATATTTTAATTTAGAGACTCTGTATAAACTATAATAGACTATCTATGAACATTTAATAAAAGAATAAATAAGAAACACTATTTTCGAGTGATCTATAGGTGGATCTGTAATAATACAGAATACAGCCTGTGCCAATGGTTTTACTGTTCACTACAGCGCATATTTCACCCTAGTGCTGCTCGAAGTGTATACTCTGAAGTTGCAACAGACCGGCCTAACCTACAATGGACGAACATATTTATTGGCACATACCGGATTTTTTGTACAGTTAACACCCGCATAACATAGCGGCTAGGTGTCTAAAAATTGCCATGTTATGCAAAACTAGGAACCAGCTTATACATATAAATACAAAAACGTAGGGTTACGTTACAAAAACTAACAAAATCAGACTACTCTTCAATCGTATTCGAGTGAAACTCGAGCATACGTTGGGGTTCAACCTAATTTTTAACCTCTTTAGGGATGAGAATTTATTAAGACCAGCATGAAAATTATCTTTTCTATTTTTCGACTGTATTTATTTAACATATATTTATGAACACTAATGACAATCAATTATTATTGTCATTAGTGTTTATAAATTCATGTGTGTTAATATTCTTCAAGAGATGAAACCGTGTTATACTAAGGTTGCCTGGTCAGTGTACGTTTTTTTTTTTTCAAAAAAGATCATAATTCTCTTACAGGAAAATTTGTTTAGCGCCAATACCGCGTTCGTTGGTTGATGGCAAACGAGGAATAAGGAAAATCTCGCGTGACGAATCCGTTCCCAGTGTCGCAACGCGTTTTCATTTACTCACGCGGCTTGATAATCGTCTTTGGCTTGGCAAACACATGTACTCTCGCGAGCAAACGCGGTTTCCGCTAGGGAAAAAAGTGGCGTAGAAGAAAAGTCTCCTACCACTTACTAAATTTATTTCAAGTACGGAAATTTTCCCCCTAGTGTCCCACCTAACGTGAGCACCATAAATATCTCGCTTACTTTTGATTTTCAGAAAAATTATTTTAACAAATGCTCAAAGTGATGTCCATAAATTTCGACACATTTTTCACTAATCCCTCTGTTGTAGTTGCTCTATTATTTAAATCGACTTCCTTACATTTGTGGACTTCTCGTACTCAAGGTCAAACGAAGGTCACACTACTATAGATCATTGGATTGGCTTTGACCTTAACTATTACGCCACGATGATAGATATACATAATTCCATTTAAACAAAACACCGATGACCGAGAACATTCGAAAAATATGACCTTCAGAAAATTTTGTTTCTTTATCACAGTACAGTAAATCCTCGATGAGTGTTCGAAGGCTCCTCGCCACTGAACATCAAATATTCCATAAACTAATAGCAAGCTCTGTCACTGTGCTAAACCTCATTAAAAAGTCAGCGTTCCACCTCGGAACCTCGCCTTGTCAATGCAGAGGAGCCACCGAACACTCATCGAGGATTTACTGTATTTCCCTTTCTAACCAAATAATACCGTTCCCGCACATTTTTGTGGTATTTTCAAAAACAAATGAGACATTGAAGGTGCTCACGTTAAGCGGGACACCCTGTATAGTGGCGACGTTGCTCGCAATGCCAAGGAATGCGTGCGCGCGACCTGTTCTCGACCGCTGACGGAGTCTTGAATGAGTCGTTCTCGAGGCGTGTAAATCGGTGAAAATTCGGGCCACGTGACAGAGAGGACACCAGGAAGGGGACACTTGTGAACGTACCTTGAGATCATCTGACGACGTCGATGCAGTCGTCTGGATCGCCACGGTGTCGAACGTGATCGGGGTGTTCCCGTGTGCGAGAAACCGCGAGGGATACAAGGAAGAAAAGAGACGTCAATTCCCACGCGTCACACTGTTCTTGATTCGGCGAACGGCCTGAGATGGAGCACAACGGGACACGCCGGGAAGTCACATCTTACGCGCACTTCGGCACACTGTTGAATACCGTGTACAATGAGGTAACGATTTAGGGGATGATGAACCTTATGGGGCCATGAACAGAAGTCTCTTTCGCTAGTCTGAACCAAAGGATCAAAGATTTAACGAATTACCAGAACTGGTCTAAAGGAAAGATTAATTTTGATATAGGCCTGAGAGCTCTGGACGTAAACTGTATCCTCTAAGATTAAAACACCATTTGCTGATCATTGGGATCAAACCTTTCCCTATATGTACTCCAACTGGCTCAACCATCTTACTATATCAATATTTCTACGTATACAAGATCCAAGGAGGTATCAAACTAGGGACGGATAAGAAGCTTCTTTTGTGCAGTTAGGGCCCTCGGACCTAGGATTCTAATCATTTCCTGAACTGGTATAACGAGGAGACTAATTTGGATAAAACACTGTTCTGCTTCTTCTGTGGAATTAGGACAGTTAGGACCCTCGGACCTAGGATTCTAATCATTTCCTAAACTGGTACAACGAACAGACTAATTTAGATAAGAGACTGATCTGCACAGCTCTGACTATAGGTACCCTATAAAATCATCGTACACTTTGATAATCACCAACCTCTTCTTACGTCCCCACTGGATTTATCATCTCGCCATATCGTTATCTTCAAATGCAGATAAGTTACAGTCATTAAAACCAGTGGAGTTATAAACAGAAGCTTTTTCTAAGGATCTAACCAAGATCCTTGAGTCCAGTATAGTCCACAATATTCAAGAAACTTCCTGAACAGATCTAAAAAGGGACACTTATTTCAACGGGGATCAACACTACACTATCTGCTTTTCATAGATCACTCTAGACTCAAACCTCTCTCTTCATGGCCCCACTGTATTTCCAATCTCTTTTATATCGTTACCTCCAAGTACACAACGACGAGATTTCACTGGACGAGGACCGCGTGCCAGCTCATACAAGACACCACCAGTTGTAACCCCCCCTTTATCGAACTTCCACCTATCTCGAATGTGGTACAATCGGCACACGTTTTTCGGCCAGTGTCGCGACGAGAAACGACGGTACACTCACACACGTCCAGCGTGATCGGGAGAAAGACTTTCGTCAAGGTGTACTCGAAGAAGATGAACGGAGGAAGTGATCCAGCGAAAACGACGGACACAAGTCGAGATATCACGTTCACGTCGTGACGGTCGCGTCGAATCTGGGCCAGCGGTGTAGCACACGCCGGTGAAAATAGCACACAGCGTCGAGACGGCTCTGCCCTCCTCACGCACAACCACCCCCCCCCTCCCTAGTCCTTCTTCGCCCGACGCGTTGTGACGTCCACGCGTTCACGCGCGCGCATCGTCCCCACCGCTTCGCGACCGTGACGCTTCCTCTCGACACCGACCAATCCCAGCGTTACGTTCCCCAGTGACGTCATTGGGCTGGTGTAGCAATGGTGCGAATTGTCTCTCGAGCACGAACAAGAGTAACTTTTTTTTTTTTGGAGTCAATTCGTCGCTCTAGTTCTTCATTGTTCTATCTCTACTACAGTGGCCGAAATTTCTATAAAGTCATGTTCATTTTCATAGATATTTTCAAAATACCAGCTATCTTATTGCTCCATCATCAATAATTAGAGGTATAATAATTATATTTATTTTTTTTTTAAATAAATGTTATATTTATTTTTTGAAACCGATGGGTACGCTTTCTTTAATTAACCTCAAAATTGCTACCGAACACAAATTTTTCATTGATATGGAATAATTATAAAAATTCATCAAAAAACATGGTGATTTACAGACTGAGAAAACTAATTTCACAATTTACGAAAGTTTAATATTATTCAACGTGTCCACGCAAACAATAAACAGTCCGTTATTTCGTAAACTATTTGAAATACGAGAGAATTGTTTACGTAAAATCGAAGGGCACGATGGAGGCTAATTTTAACGGGACATTGCGAATTTTGTTAACATTATTATTGGTTTTGTCACGTTTGGTTTTTTAAATGGAATTATATATACCATGTATTGTTAGTTAATTGATTGAAGAAAAAATAGTAAATGAAATATTGCATTAACGCAACATTGGTTGTTAATTTCGTTAAGGTCATTTCATTCCCAAATTATTTAAAAAATACCAATGAAACATTTTGTTATATTTATATATATATTACATGACACATATTAAATGATGTAGAAAACCATTTGATCATTTTGAAACCGTCTAATGTCATTTTTCATTCGTTGCCATTTGACAGCTGTTTAATTTTTATCACAATTACATACAATAATATCTATTATAATGTTATACATAATAAAACTCAATTTTTTTTACTTTTGATCAATAAGCCTTCTTGAAATATTCGAAAGAAATTAGAATTTTGTAAGTTTATGTTGTCTCTGTAACAATGCTCAACACTTACATTCCACCAAATGAAAGAGAACAAAGGACAAATAATATCTTATTTTATCCATAAGAGCTTCTAAATGCACATTCAAATTTATGCCATACTTTCTATAAAAGACCAGAAGAAATTATAATATAATCTTAGATATGAAAAAATACACGATACTAATATTTTATTTCATAATTTAGAATATGTAGCCATATGGCAACGGTGGGAACGAAAGGGTTAATGAAGTTTGCAGGCTTTATCAGCATTTCGATGCAAACGTTCCAATTAATTCTGGTGTCGTCGGTCACCGGTGACTCTCCATGGTAGACAACGCGTTAATCAATAACTCGAGAGCTTGAAGAATTATAAAATATAGAACAATTTGTGTTATACATATATCATCATCTTCATGTTACGTTTCAACTTCACAGTACCCATACAAATTAACACCATGAGACAACACCATTTTTTCATTTATTTTTAAACCTTTGAAATTAATAACTAAATAGTCTCAAGTAATTGTTATGTTGTTGCCATTGTTATTGCATTTTTTGTTATTGTTTCATCTTTTATTCATGTGTCTTTGTTTATATTCATCCTATATTTGTATCAAACGGTTTTTCTTGTTAAAATAAATATTATTACTATTATAATATCTAACTTTTGTCAGCAAGGATCTGTATTTTCCCCGATATAAAGTAGATTTCCACGTATTCAGTTGAGAAATTTAAGTATTGCCTCCAAGAATAAATAAAAAATGAAAAACTAATGAAAAAATATAGGTGTCTTTAACACTAGAATTACCAGTAGTGAATATATTCTATATTAAATTGTAAAATGTAATAATATACATAACATATAGTACAATTTACCATAATAGAGTATAACATAAAATCTACAGGAAATTAAAAATCACTAAAAAGTCCCCCAAAAACATAATTACAATTTTAATAATCGTAGAATAAGAAATCTGCAATCCGTTATTTTAACTGGTTTGGTAGTTCCAGTGTTTAATATCGATATTTTCGACTTCAAAATAACAAGATTATAATTCTGAAATAACGATTTAAGTGTCCGAGCGTTAAAGGGTTATTGTGACAATCACCTTTAATGAAATTCACCATTTTTCCTGAAAATCACGTTTCTACGTTGCAGATACACAGTGTCTCATTTACATCGTTTCATTGGCGATATTTATAAATTATTTTTTCTTTGTAAAACCAGGCAGTCATATTGCGACGTCATCGACGATTGATGACTCGGTTTATCACGAGACGCGGCACATCGTGAAGCAACAGATGGAGAGGAAAACTCAAGAACGAGCAAGGCCGTGCGTTGACCTTCTTCAAGATAATGAACTGAATAATGAGCGTTCATCCAGTCCGTATTTTTATGAGCTTATCGCCAACTTATATTAATAGATCATGACACTTTCGTATCGTAAGGGCGAAAGAGAGAGTGACAATGGAACAGTATATGTTAAAAGACCCATTTACAGCCACCTACGCAATTACTGTCATCCTAGACAGTTTTACTTAAAATAAAAAATAAACGTTGTGAAGTTATGCGTGCAATTAAAATTGTAATTCGTACGATAGAAAGAGCAGCACTTAATTTCCTTTTTACATTACTTTTTGTAAAACGATCAAACATTTTAAATTGATTGGAAAAGTAAGAACGACGACTTCCTTACCAGAGAAAGGGAAAACAACGTAATAAAGAAAATACTATAATTGTAATATTTGAGCTAGTAACAACAAAATGTAATGTTTTGGATAATATAAATATTATAGGAAATAATGTAGACCATAGTTCAACGATTCGTTAAGACTTTTAGTTTAATTTTGGGTTACAGTGAGTACAAGTGTTTCAATAATTTTTTGATTACTGTCATGTCAGTAATTGCTGATGAAAAGAAAGCCTTTTAGAAAAATTTTTGGTAAATAAAAGTTATTATTTAGTAAATTAATATAATTAATACAGTCAAATTATAACGTTATTAATGTCACCAATACGGTCTGCAGTCACGTGCAACCTAACCTAAAAAAGTGACGGTATTTAGGTAGATGAAATGACAGTATTTGGGTAGGTGGTAGTAATTGGGATGTCAGTAATTCGATCGAACACGCTTTACGGGTGACAGTAAAGCTTCCGCGATATATTTTTGAAACTAATGAATTTTGAAGCAAAAGGAGAGGTTTAGAAAGTTACAACATATTTTTCTTTCAATTAAATGTACTAACTAATAATAAATATAAATAAAAACTTACATTTTTGGTCAGTTAATACAAAAATTATACAATAATGTCAGTGACATTTTTGTATGTGTAAGTAATTGGGTCTTTCATTCTACTCGTACCCCCAGTTCTATATTGGAGAACACGGAAATTATCAAAGTCACCTTCAGGCTTCAGATTTCTCGAATTCTATCGTTTGCTACCTGTTAGCAATGATATACAACAGAGAACAGGATGTTTTATGGTAAATAGATACACAGAATGGACCAACCCAGTGGAGACGCGCCTTAATCTTCTTAGACACGTCGGTTGACATTGAAATATACGATTCTGCGGTGTTCGATATAGGTTATCAACGACGACGCTTTCCAATTCATAAATAACGTCACATGCGACTCCGTTAATCTCGATAGAAACGTTAAAGTGACATGTGCAGTCTGCAGATGGATCGTAAATATTTCGCAGTAACGCGTGATCAAGGGGGAAAAGGTGCCATTTTGTCGTAACCCGGAAATCCTTCATACTTCAGCTTCGTTGAAAGCCAAACCGTTTTCTATTGAATTTCTCAATTTGACCTCTTAAATTTCTTTTTTTTAATGTCATGCACTCAAATCTTCAATTTGTATTTAAATAATGTATCATTGACAAAATGATAAAATGTTTTTCGTCGGTATCGAATTTACTTTCTGAGGGGTTGGTACCACTTGATAACTGATCCCAAAATGAGACTAGCTTCGTTTTTCTTGGAACAAGTTTCCCGATGGAGGGGGTTTCGGGTACCAACGAGAGAAAAAACGTTCCATTATTCATTCAGGGAGACGTTTTAGTATTCAAGATAGTCTTCCTGACCGATCTAAAAATAATTCCTAGCGAAAGAACCGTCTGTCTCTGCTTATTGTCTGCTGTTATTTTAACGAGTCGACCACTCGCGGAGAAAATTTCATAACGTTCAACATATAACTCGCGTGGGAGATGGTAAATCGTAACAACCGGTTACGAACGCTTTCAAATATATACACAATATTGCTCGACGAACAGATAAGGAGAGGAATTTAAAATAGAACCGGAGCGTTGTGTAGATGGTTTCATGAAATTATTCAAGGCAGTAGCTGCCCTCGCTCGGACTCGTTAAGTGTTCGAGCGGTCTCGTTAAGTGTTCGTGACAGTTCGTAACTGATACAGATTTTAATGAAGTGATTTTCATGTAACAAAATTGTTTTAACCCTCATTTTCTTAATTTCATTTGTCTTTCGGTTTGACATAGCGATAAAAAAGATAATACGATTAAAACATACATGGTTAAATTTGCAAATTCTTTCTGTACAGATCTTGATTTTTTTATTGGCTTTATCTAATCTTTTAAAAACTAAGGTTATAGTGTCTTGTTTTAACCATTTTGTTTTTCTCTCTTGTATTTTCCAGTTATACGTTTCATTAAGTTTATTATTTGGTCTATTTATATAAACGTGTTTACATTTTTTTTAACCCGTATTCTAATGGAAATTATCCTATATATTATACCTAATCTAAATTTACCTGCCGTCATCCTAACAAATGGCACCAATATTGGTACTTATTGTTTCGGAAAGGCCTCACATATTA